GATTTGCTTTCAGGTATTTTGATAGCTGTTGGAGTGGTTAGAATCAGTGTCAGTTCCCTCTCAAAGGCTTCAAGATAACTGTTAGCTTTCCACTTCCTGGGGTTTATGAAAATAAGCAAAATTAGAAGAATGGCATTATTTTACATTTTTGCAGATCTCTTTAATGTTTTCCCAAGTAGAAGTTGGTAGGGATTCTCATCTGCTTTTGTACTCCATTTGTTGAGATGTCACCATCTCCCAGTCTCAGAAATGCTTGCCTGCATGTTTATGAAATAACAAGCGTGAAAGAGGCAGATGCCATCTGTGTATGATGATGAAATAGGTGTGACCTCAGGGAGTCCCTGGAAGGGTGTCACTTCCCCCTTGGTCATCGCAGCTGGGTGTTCATGGGTGGTGAGACTCCTGGTGTGCAGTTTATGTTTCATCTACTCTCTCTCCTACTTGTTGCAGAGTCCTTTGGGCAAAACTATCCAGAGGTAAGTTTAGTTTTGTTGTGATGTATAGAAAAGGGTAACTACTTTGTGATTATATTTGATGACAAACAATTAAGCATGATATATATTTTGCTGTGATTAATAAATTAGATGTTTAACTTCGAGCAAGGGTAATGTACAATATTGGCTAGAAATCTCACTATAAATTAAATCTTGCCGGGCGTGGTGGTGCATGCCTTTAATCCCAGCACTCTGTGAGATTGAGGCCAGCCTGGTCTATATAGCAAGTTCTAGGCCAACTGTAGCTACAGAGAGGCCCTGTCTCAAAAAGACCAAAAATAAATAAATAAATGTAAAAATAAAATCTTAAGCTTCATTTTCCTTTATTAAATAAAAGGAAAAAAAAATACCCACAACTTTACCTGATGGATTTTGTTTTGTTTTTTTTTTTACAAACAGTACCATCAGCTGTAAGGAACTTTTTGTGTGTGTGCTTTTCAGGTTTCAATGAATGTATTTACATAGTAACTAAATTTAGCTATGTGTGTACATTTGTAACATTCACATATGCTTCAGTGTGGTCATCCTGATTTTTTATGGCTTGATACTGAAGTAGAACAATTTATTTAATTTCCTTAATGTTAGACATTATTTAATTTCCATAATGTTGGCTATTTCATAGCTTTTTAATTTTTATTTTGTAATCAAAGAACTATGACTCCTGGTTACTTTGTTATATTTTACCCACTGACCTTCAGAAAGTTTGTATAAGAAATTGCTCATTGTTTCCAAAATTGTTGGTTAGCTTTTTAAGTGTTTATTCATGTTAACTAGTTTAAGAGGTATAAGCATACTTGCAGAGATCATTTCAGTGTGCATTCTCATTTAAATTCAAAAGAAATGTCCTAAAGGAAGAGAACCCTGGTGTGTTTCTGTGTATGTTTTATAGGAAGCTGATGGGACTTTGGATTGCATCAGCATGGCCCTGACATGCACCTTTAACAGGTGGGGCACACTGCTTGCAGTTGGCTGTAATGATGGCCGGATTGTCATCTGGGACTTCTTGACAAGAGGCATTGCTAAAATAATTAGTGCACATATCCACCCAGTCTGTTCTTTGTGGTAAGGACTTTTTATTTTATTAACTTTTTTTGTGTGTGTGGTGTTGGGGATTGAGCCCAGCAAATTTTTTTATGTGTATGAGTGTTATACCTGTATGTGTATGAGCACCTATGTTGTGCAGTGCCTGAGGAGAACAGAAGAGGGCATTGGATCCTCTGGAACTGGAGTTACAGATGGTTGTTAACTGCCATGTGGGTGCTGGAAACTGAATCTAAGTCCTTTGCAAGAGGAGCCAGGGCTCTTAACATCTGAACCATCTCTCCATCCCCCCAATGAATTTTTTTTCTTTATTTGTATATGTGTATGGCGTGAGTGCGTGCGTGTGTGCGTGCGTGCGTGCGTGCGTGCGTGTGTGTGTGTGTGTGTGTGTGTGTGTGTGTGTGTGTGTGTAGATGGCATGCACGTGTATACTGAGGCCTGAGGTTGATTGTAAGTATTGTAGAACTGGTGGGAGAGGTACCCCAATCCTTTTGTGTGCAGATTTGAAGTTAGTCCCCCATAGTCTCCCATAGTCCCTCATAGTCATGTCACTAGCTTTTTTCTGCTGTCCTTTGTCCTTGGAGTCAAGTCTAGGACCTAATACATTTGCCCCATCTCTGATACAAATAATTACTCTTTTCTAAATACTTTTTATATGCCAGGCATTGGAATAGGAATTTTATATGCATTAACTTTAATTCTCTCAGTAGTCCTCTGGATGTAGATCCTGTTACCATTCCTGTTGTAGTTGAGGAATTGAAGCTCAATAGGCTGTAAACTTCCTTAAGATCATACAGCTGGAGGGTAGTAATGCCTGGCTTGAGCAGAGAGGTCTGATGTCTGAGCTTATTTTTATATTGCCTTCTAAGCTCATCAGTAGCAGTTGCTCTTTATTTCCCTTTCAGTTAGTATTAGTTTGGCTTTCCTTTTCTGTTAGTTCCTCCTGTATTTTTTTTTTATTTTTATTTTACGTGTGTATATATGTATATTGCCTCCATGTGTGTCAGTGCACCCGTGTCGTGCAATCCCTGCGGAAGACAGAAGAAGGTGTTAGAGCCCCTGGAACTGGAGTTACAGACTGTTAGCTGCCATGTGGGTGCTGGGAATTGAACCCAGGTCTTCTGCAAGAACAGCCTGTGTTTTTAACCACTGAGCCCTCTCATTCCTCCTTCTGTATTTCCTTTCTCTGCTTCTTGCCTTCCTGTGGGTTACTTGAACAAATTTTTAGGAATTCTATTTTGATTTACCTATAGTGTTTCTGGGCATATTTCTTTGTGTAGTTTTAAGTTATAGTACAGGTTTATTTGTTTTTTTGTTTGTTTGATTTTTTTTTGAGACAGGGTCTCCCTTTAGCTCACTATGTAGACCAGGCTGGCCTTGAACTCACAGAGATCTGCCTGCCTCTGTGTCCCGAGTGCTGGGATTAAAGATATTATCCTAGTTTGCTTCTCCATTGCTGTGACAAAACACTCTGACCAATACCAACCTGAGGAGGAAAGGGTTTATTTTATCTCTTATCTCCCAGGTCACAGTTCATCAGGGAGCCCAAGGTAGGAACTCAGGACAGAAACCTGGAGGCAGGAGCTGGAGCACAGGCCATGGAGGAACACTGCTTACTGGCTTGTTCCCCTGGCCCCTGCTCAGCCTGCTTTCTTATGCAACACAGGCCCACCTGCCCAGGGGTGGCACCACCCACAGTGGGTTGGGTCCTCCTACATCACTCAACAATCAAGAAGATGCCCAACAGATATGACCACAGGCCAGTTCAATGGAGACAGTTTCCCAATTGAGGCTCCCTCATCCCAGGTGTGTTAGTTGACACTACAGCTATCCAGCACAGATGTGCTCCATCACACCTGGCTGTTGGTTACTAGATTTAATGTTACATATATTTAACTTACCACAGTATACTACAACCTACTAATGTTGATGTTTTATCAGCTCAAATCAAGTAGAGAAACCTTAACCTTCTTTCTGTCCCTTTGCCTTCCTTGTGTACAATATAATTATCCTAAACATTTCCTCTGCATACATTGCCACCCACAAAAGACAAACCCGTAATTTTTGTTCCATCATGCACCGACTACGCCCAGCAATTTTTATTTTTCTTTTTAAAGACAGGGTCTCACTCTGTAGCCCAGGCTGTCTGGAACTCATGATCCTCCTTCCTCCACCTCCTTAGTGCTGGAATTACAGGTATGTGCCACCACACTGGCTTTAATTATTTTAAAATACTATACTTTATTATACTTTTTTATTTTGTTTGTGCTATGATGATGCCACTTCTTGGTCAACTTTGGAAAATTCATAAGCTCTTCATCCCTGAAATCCCCCTCAAGTCCTTTTTGGTGTTGTATCAGTCTTTAAATTTCAGCTGATTTGGGGACTTTTTAAAGATGCTCAAATCTGTTATTTCACTGTGCTACTTGTGGTGTTATTTTGAAATGTTACATTATTGTATATAGAAATAACGTGATTGTCAGACATGGTGGTGTATGCCATAAACCCAGCACTTAGGAAACGGAAGCAGGATGATTAGAGTTCAAGATAGCCTGGGCTACGTAATGAGTTTGTCATAAGAAAGAAACAAAAAAAAGTCATAGAAATATTTATTGATTAGTTAAGAAAGTTTGTTATAGCTTTGACTGTTCTTAAAAAATTGTTCACTTGTACAATTAGGTCAATGTCTTATCCATAATAGTGGAATATAGACTTTAAATTAGAGCATGTGCAAAATTAGCTTCTTTTTTTTCCCCCTAGCTGGAGTCGAGATGGTCATAAGCTCGTGAGTGCCTCCACTGACAACATAGTGTCACAGTGGGATGTTCTTTCAGGCGATTGCGACCAGAGGTTTCGATTCCCTTCACCCATCTTAAAAGTCCAGTATCACCCTCGAGATCAGTATGTTTAAGATCTTACTTTCCTGGGGCGGGATCTCATTCTACATGGATTAGCTCTGGGCTATGACAACTTCAGTTTAAGGTTTTAGGAGGCAAACACAACATCTTATCAAACCTATATAAAATAATTTTTCTGTCTAGGTTGGCTCTACTGAATATATTGTAAGGAGATTATAACTGATCAGTATTAAGACTTTGGAAATGACTGAAGGTGGGAATAAATGTAATAATTATGCCCTGACCTTGATTCTTTAGATTTCTGTAGTAAGAGGAAACAATTTAATATTAAGACTACAATTAAGAAAAAGTTACCCAGCATCCCACTACCTAGACATAACTTAATTTCTGTGGGATCTCTTATAGTCTTATTTCTCTTTAAAGTATAAAGCTCATTATACAGTGCTTCATAGCCCAGGCCATATTTGATGTACATACATTTACATTTTTTTGCATAGCTATTATCAGTATTTTGTTTTTACTTTAATATTTTGCTAATTAAATCTTTTAATCACATTTTTTCAAAATAGGCTCTCATACTTTTATTCAGTCTGTTCCCTGTTATTAGATCTGTAGCTTTTATGTTTTTACACCATTTCAAATTTGCTGGTACTGGGAGAGCCAATGAGGGGAGTAGACAGGGACAGAGAAAAGGACAGGAAATAAGCCTGCTGGTACCAAAGCAATAGCCAATATGCTGTTCATATTTTTAAACAGGAACAAGGTTCTCGTGTGTCCCATGAAATCTGCTCCTGTCATGTTGACCCTTTCAGATTCCAAACATGTTGTTCTGCCGGTAGACGATGACTCTGATTTGAACGTGGTCGCATCTTTTGATAGGCGAGGGGAATATATCTATACAGGAAACGCAAAAGGCAAGGTAAGCTGTGAGCTCATTTTCTATTTGCTTCTTTTGCTTCTCTATGTTTTTTATTTCTGGAATAAGTGTGGTTCCTGACTTTGCCAAATATAGTTAATTTTCTTTCATGCCTTAATTATTTCTGTTCTTTGAATTTTGAGTAGACAGATTATTTAATTTAGATAAGAATGGGGGCTGGGTGTAGTGGCTCATGTTTATAATTCCAGCACTTGGAAGGCAGAGACAGGAGGATCACTCCAAATTCAAGGAGAGCCTGGACTAAATAGTGAGTTCCAGGCCAGTTTAGGACTGCATCGCAAGACTTAGCTCAAGAAGCAACAAAAAAAAAGGGGGGGGGGTTGTTTATAGCTCAGTTGGTGGAGTTCTTGCATGCTTGAGGCCATGGGTTTGATCTCTCACACCAGAAAAAGCAGTAAAATAAAAAGACATAAGGATTGTTACCAGTTAGTAATTAAAAGAGTAATTAAAATATTTAAGAGTCATGTTATCAACTATAACACAGTTGATGAAAATGTCTTAATATCTAGTTGTAAAAAACACAGTATAAACTGCACAAGTGTATACATGCACACACAAAAATACAGTATAATTTAAATCAGCTTAATCTAGAATACTGAGACTTTATCATCTTTTTTCTTCTTATTAAACTTCTGGCCTTGCCCTTTGGGATGTTTGGAAGGTGTTGACTCTTCTTTTTGGTATACATTGTAGGTGTTTCTTTTGGCAGCTATTTTAAAAAACATGGTTAAGATGTACATTAACAGCTGTAGAGTGCTTACCTCACTTATGTTAGGTTCTGGGTTCTAGCCCCACTGCAAAAAAAAAAAATAGATGCACATAAAATTCATCATTTTAAGCATTTTAAATGTTAAGTTCAGTGTATTCAGTGCATCAAGTCTCAACACCATCCTCTGCAGAACTTTTTATCTTGCAAAACTACACTGTCAAGTATTGTAGTCCTCAGGCTTTGGCAACCATCATTCTGTTTTGTCTATGAATTTGACCACTGTAAGCACCTCATGTAAATAGAATAATACTGTATTTCCCCATTTACAACTGATTTATTTCACTTAGGATAATGTCCTCCAGGTAACTGTTGTAACATATGTCAAAATTTCCCCCTTTTTCAGAGTTAACTAATATTGCATGTATGTACCATATTTTACTGCTATCAATGGATACTTGCTTGGGTTGCTTCCACTTCTGGGCTATTCTGTGAATGATGTTAAACATCATGTTTCAAAAATAGATTGTTGGCCAGGTGTGGTGGCACAGGCCTGTAATCCGAGCACTTAGGAGGCAGAGGCAGGCAGATCTCTGAGTTCAAGGCCAGCCTGGTCTATATAGTGAGTTCCAGGTCAGCTGGGGCTACAGGGAGACCCTGTTTCAAAAAGACCAAAAAAACAAAAACAAGAATAGATTGTTAAGATTATATGCTTTATTTGAAGAAATAAAAGGTAATACCAGTTTAATAAGGTTGAACACATGAGGGATAGAGGTGTTTGGAGTTTTACTAGGTCTTTGCACAGTTTTAGAAACAGAAGCTAGGTCTAATTACTATTAGTTATTAGAATATTTACTTTTATATTTTTGTTCTGTAAACTTTAGATCTTGGTCCTAAAAACAGATTCTCAGGATCTTGTTGCTTCCTTCAGAGTAACGACGGGAACAAGCAATACTACAGCCATTAAGTCAATTGAATTTGCTCGGAAGGGGAGGTGAGTGAGACTCCTTGTCTTGTTTGTGTGTATGAGATTTTTGTTTTATTTACAGGACCTCACTATATAGCCCAGGCTGCCCTAGATCAGTGATCCTCCTACCTCAGCACTTCTGAGTGCTGAGATTTCAGATAGGTACTACCATGCCCAAGCGGATCTTATTTTTTAAAGGACAAGTTTAAAAGTGAATGGAGCCTGGTGTGTGACAAATGTTTTGAACCCTAGTACTCAGGAGGCAGAGTCAGGCAGATCTCTTTGAGTTCAAGGCCAACTTGGTCTACATAGAGCAAATGAGCCAAGGCTATACAGTGAGACACCCCCCCCCCAAAAAAAAAAGATTTACAGTTTTATGTTTATGTATATAAAATTTATAAAGCTTACTGAAGCTGTTAGAAACTGGTTCTTGGGTTCATATTATTTCCCTGATTGAGCTAGTAGTCATGTCTTCGTTGTTGGAAGGTTATTAGGCTCAGTGGGTAAGGAGGTTTCTGCCAAATATGAAGATCTAATTTCAATTCCTAGGACCCACATAGTGGAAGGAAAGAACCAACTCCCTCAAGTTTTCCTCTGACATTGTGCTGGATAGCTTTAGTGTTAACTTGACACACCTGGGTTGAGGGAGCCTCAGTTGGGGAATTGCCTCTGTTGGACTGGCCTGTGGCCATGTCTGAAGGGCATCTTCTTGATGAGTGATGTGGGAGGGCCCAGCCCACTGTGGGTGGTGCCACCTCTGGGCAGGTGGGCCTGTGTTGCATAAGAAAGCAGGCTGAGCAGGGGCCAGGGGAGCAAGCCAGTAAGCAGCATTTCTCCATGGCCTGTGCCCCAGCTCCTGCCCTTAGTTCCTACCTTGGGCTCCCTGATGAACTACGACCTGGGAGATACAAGCTAAATAAACCCTTTCCTCCCCAGTTGGTAGTGGTCAGAGTGTTTTGTCACAGCAATAAAGAACAAACTAGAACAGACATCTATATGTGTACTATGGCACAGGTGTACCCTCCTCCCCCCAAATAAATAGAAATAATAATAAAAAAAATAAACATTTGGTTTATCAGCTCATTAAGAACATATTATGTATAAAACAGGCCAGAGAAATGAAGTATTTATATATGTTGAACATTATACATTATGAACTTGTGACTTTAGCATGCTAGTTTTTGTTTAGAGGTCATAGATCTCAGTTAATTCTGATAATATGAACATGTTGGGTTCAAGGATGCATAGGAAGGATAAAGCACATATATTCTCACTTTATTGGTTTGGAAAGTGACAAGAAGGTAATATAAGCATTTAATCATGGATTTTCTTAGTTAATTGTGTTGTGGTACTGTTCTAAACAGTAGTAATAGAAAATGTTAATAGGAACTGGTTTCTAACTGAATATATTTCTCCTTTCTATAGTTGCTTTCTAATTAACACAGCAGATCGAATAATCAGGGTTTATGATGGGAGAGAAATTTTAACCTGTGGAAGGGATGGAGAGCCGGAGCCCATGCAAAAACTGCAGGACTTGGTGAACAGGTAAGGTATTGCAGCCTAGGAGAGGATGTGGTAGTTCTTTGCCTGGACTCCAGTTCTAGTTCGTCCTGGGAACTTTTTCTTTTAGGACCCCGTGGAAAAAGTGTTGCTTCTCTGGGGATGGGGAATACATAGTGGCAGGCTCTGCCCGGCAGCATGCACTATACATTTGGGAGAAGAGCATTGGCAACCTGGTGAAGATCCTGCATGGGACCAGAGGGGAGCTCTTGCTGGATGTGGCTGTGAGTAGAGCAGGTTGTTGCTTTGGTAGCTCACACACTTTAGAATGCCATGAATCTGTTCTTACAGTCAATTCTTCTCTCTCATTGCATTTTAGTGGCATCCTGTCCGACCCATCATAGCATCCATTTCTAGTGGAGTGGTGTCCATTTGGGCCCAAAATCAAGTAGTAAGTATTTTTCTGGTTGATATGCTTTGAAACTAGATATACTTTTTTTTTTTTTTTTTTTTTAAATCAAAAACCTTTATACAAAGTAAGATAAATTCTACCTTAATTTCTTTGGGGTATGATTCTTGCAGCCTAATTAAGTTCATTGTATCTAGCTTTACTTCAGTGGGAAGTTCTTGATTTCAAGCTGGCCAACTAGCATTGTTTTCATGGGTATTTTCTACAACATTTTAAAAGTCTTTTTGCTTTTCTTATTTTCAGCTCAGTTTATTTTATTTTACTTTTTTTAGTTTTTTTGGAGATAGGATCTTACTATATAGCCCTGACTGGACCAGAACTCACTATGTAGGCCAGGCTGACCTTGAATTCACAGTGATCCACCTGCCTCTGCCTCCCATGTGCTAGGATTAAAGTCATGTGCCACCATGTCTGGGCCTAGATTTTCTTGTTTGTTTGTTTGTTTGTTTGTTTTTGGTCTTTTTGAGATAGGGTCTTCCTGTAGCCCCAGCTGGCCTGGAACTCACCATGTAGACCAGCCTGGCCTGGAACTCAGAGAGATCCGCCTGCCTCTGCCTTCTGAGTGCTGGGATTAAAGAGGTGTGCCACCATGCCCGGCTCCAAGATTCTATTCTTATATCCCAAATTTAGTCTTAGTATTAGACTAAATTTGCTTTCAGAACTTATATTGTTGCTGCTTTCTCATGTGATGAAATTGTACATTTTGTTGTAGGAAAATTGGAGTGCATTTGCACCAGATTTCAAAGAGTTGGATGAAAATGTAGAATATGAGGAAAGGGAATCAGAGTTTGATATTGAAGATGAAGATAAGAGTGAGCCTGAGCAAACAGGTAATGCTTCTTAATTTCAGACAGTGCTTCCGAAAGGAAAAGCTGCTTCACTTAACATTCTTAATTTGTGTTGTAAGTGTATTCCAGCACTTAATCTGTCACATTTTTCCTTTAAGCATTTGCAGTTTTCGCAGTGTTTGGGGAGTCTTAATTTATATACTTTTGATATGGACTCCCATAGGTATCACCACAGTTCAAGCACCTCTCCACATTTCATATGCATTTCCTGATTAATTTTGGGTGATTAAGTGGGGCTTTACATGCAGCCCCTGCAAAGCACACAGATTGTGTCCTGTCTTCTATCACTTGTTAGTAAGAGAAAGGTCAAGAGCATGGCTGTGGCATGGGACAGTGTTTGTCAAAATACTTAAACTTGAATCCCTTTATCTGAAAGATAGGAATAATAATAGTATCCATCTCTTAGTATTGTATCAAATAATTAAATAATCATGTAAAGCACTTAGTTTATGCCTAACCTGTAAGAACCCTGAAGTTAGATCTTATGTTCTAAATTTCTAAATAGGACTTCATGGAAAATAAAGATTTGACTCTTTTGTTGCTGTTTGGAGACGGTCTCTCTATGTGACCCCACCTGACCTCAAACTTGCAGTCTTTCTGCCTCAACCTTCCTCTCCCCAGTACTGAGATAATATGTGTGCCAGACTTCACCTGGCTTAGTATTTGACTTACTAACCTCATGGTGTCTATCATAGGGCTTCCCACATTGTAGGAGTTTCTGTGTGTGGATGTTTACTATGCCTACCTGGCACTATAATTGATGGACAGATCATTGACTCCTGGGCTACTTCATCATGCTAGGAATTAGGGAATCAGGATTGAGATTAGATCTCTCCATCTTGAAAGTTCTCTTCCCCTTTGGGTATTAGGTAGTTTACATATATGACTCATGGATTTTAGGAACACCGCCCCAGGAATAAAAAACATTGTGAATTGTTTTTGACAGTCTCAGATTATGTTTTGTGAACCTTTTTAGACTTCCACATAAATCAGTTCTCTGTGTCTGTCCACCAAGCACATTGCTTTAATGTAGCCTTTACTGCATTAAGTTGAAATGATCCTGTCTCTTTTCCTGGGTAGATGATGAAACTTTTACTGAAGAACCACTCCCAGCTTTCTTGATCATCTCTGTTCCCAATGTTCGTATCCGGTAGAAATTCAGCCCCTGTTTGTTAAGGGATTAAGTGAAATGAGCTATTGGGTTATCCTCAGGCAAAAAGCCATTTTCTACTTCTTTTTAAACCTTTCCCATGTTCTGTCCTGCAGGGGCTGATGCTGCAGAAGACGAGGAGGTGGATGTGACCAGTGTGGATCCCATTGCTGCCTTCTGTAGTAGGTGAGTGACCTGGAAGGGTGAACATGGCGGTACTGTGCGTATTGTTTGTGTACTGCTCAGCTCCCCTAGCTTATTAATAGACAGAGCAAGAAATGTGATGTAGATTTTCTTCTCTAATCCTTTTCCCTGCTCCCTGAGATAACAGAATTTTAAGAAACAAAAATAATGAATTTATTCTATTTATGATTATTGATTTCTGCTGTCCTGTTATCTGATCTCCTGTATTCAGCTTGGCTTTCTTAAAGTCTAGATCTATGTGTTGTATATGCTACAATATAGGTGCTAGAAGAAGGGCTGAATGGCTCATGGTTTAAGCAACTTTCTCCAAATCTTTTTTTCCAATCCCTTGTCTGATCCTGTTCCAAATAGTGATGAAGAGCTGGAAGATTCAAAGGCTCTGTTGTATTTACCCATTGCCCCTGAGGTAGAAGACCCTGAAGAAAATCCTTATGGCCCCCCACCGGATGCAGTCCCAACCTCTTTGATGGATGAAGGGGCTAGTTCAGAGAAGAAGAGGCAGTCTTCAGCAGATGGGTCCCAGCCACCGAAGAAGAAACCTAAAACTACCAATATAGAACTTCAAGGAGTACCGAATGATGGTAAGAGCCACCTCTCAATCCATGGTGCCTACAGGTGCATTAATTTATACTCTGGCACAAATTAGTAATTTCCTATTTGATTGATTTTTTTATTTTTTAACCTTAAAGGAGTTTTCTAATGAGTCTTTAAAAAAATATTTATTATTTTTATGTGTATGAGTGTTACGCCTGCAGTGTATATAAATGCACCTGTGTCATGCAGTGCCTGCAGAGGTCAGAAGAGGGTGTCAGATCCCCTGAAACTGGAGTTACAGATGGTTGTTAGCCACCATGTAGGTGCTGGGAACTGAACCTGGGTCGTCTGCAAGAGCAGTTAGTGCTTTTGACTCCTGAGCCATCTCTCCAGCCCCAATGAGTCTTTTAAAAATAGTTTTCACAGCTCTGTAATGATTTCATCAGTGTTTACTTTTAAAATGGGAATATTCTGCCCTTTGATACTTTGCCCAAGATAACATACTTTGTCTTCTGATGCAAGGCTTGGAATTTGTTTCTTTGAACTACTCATCTTTTTATTTTTTTTCTCATATAGTGTTTGAGTGGTAAAGTTCCAGTCAGATCTGCACAGTTGTTTCTTTCTTCTTACTTGCTTTTGCAATGGGATCGGGAACTTCTGTTACCATGTGTTGCAATGAACTGGGACAGGGTAGTGTTTACCATTAGGCCTCCTCCATTCTTTTTTCTTATAGCTGAGCACAGATCAGTTAATTATGCAATTGTGCATTTCACTGATGTGCCTACTCTGTTCTAGGTGCTAGTGTACAGTCTATACCATTGCTCACATTCGTATCAACCCTGCATTAGTTTACTATTCTTCTTTACAAAGTAGAAAATTTAGACTGAAGTTGCATAACTCCCCTGCTCTCACAGAAAGTGATGCAGTGAGGACTCTTGCCCTGATCTATCCATTTGTTTTTTGACTTAGTATGCCTGTGTTGTATGTGTGTGTTCCACATACATTCCTATTCTGGCTTGGTTTGATATTGTGTGAGTAAGTATTTTAACTCTTTTTAGAGTTGCTGTTTCTTGGCATAAACAATATAGGCTGTGTGTACCTTTTGGTCTAGCAAGGGGTAGTCATTTTCATGGATTAGTGATCTGGGACACAGAGTGATATTCTTTGCATTCAAAGGTTTGACTGGGCTGTGAGGATCAGTATTAATGTGGACTGTCTTGCATGAGTGTCTTGTCTTCCTGCAGAAGTCCATCCACTACTGGGTGTGAAGGGGGATGGTAAATCCAAGAAGAAGCAAGCAGGCCGGCCTAAAGGATCAAAAGGTAAAGAGAAAGATTCTCCATTTAAACCGAAACTCTACAAAGGGGACAGAGGTTTACCTCTGGAAGGATCAACGAAGGGTAAAGTGCAGGCGGAGCTCAGCCAGCCCTTGACAGGTAAGGACACATTGGGAGCACTGTCCAGCTTGCTTTGTGGCCTTGCTTTGTACAGCTACTGACTTCCTTAACTGCAGTGGGGACCTGACCCCCCCACCCCCTTCCTTTTCCCTAGCATCAAGTAATCTCTGCATTTTAAGCTGCTAAGGGCAAAAAAAAAAAAAGCTAAACCAAGATTGTCTTAATTCATTGGCTTTCAACCTTAGGTACCCTAATAGATTTCAAGGGTCTTCCATTCTCCTGATATATACAAAGCATTACATGAGTATTTTCCTAAAGAGAATACCCCTGCCATTCATTAGATTCCTGTAGGGAAGTGTCTGACCCAAAAAGATTAAGAGCCTGTAGTTTAATTCATTTCTTAGATTGTATTTGCTTTGCCCTAGATTTTTTTTTTTTTTATTTGTGGGTGGATCTTTTGTTTTTTGCTTCAGATGAAAGAACCAAATAGCTAGAAATACAACCTTGTTTCATATAGGCCCTGACTGGTTAACTACAGTATCTTTACTGTGTTATTCAAATGCTACAAGTGGTAGTTCCTTTGTCCCAACAGTGTGGAAGAAAATGTTAGTACCATGTTAAAGAAGAAAATGCGGCTTCGGGGTTTCCCCCCTGTATTAGTCAGGGTTCTCCAAAGAAATAGAACCAGTAGAATGAATATATATGTATAGAGATTTATCAGCTTAGCTCACAGGATAGAGTCCGAGTAGTCCAATAATGGCTGCACCACACTGGAGAGGCTGAGAATCCGTAGTCACTCAGTCCATGAGGCTGGATGCCTCTCAGTAGTCCCAATCTGGCGCTGAAGGTCTGATGAATCCAAAAGATCAGCTAGTCTTCAGTCTACAGCAGCAAGACAACTCACCAGTGAGGGAGAAGGCAAGCAGCAAGAAGCCTGGCGTTTTCCTCTGCCTTGGCCTTTTATACGGGCTGCCATCAGAAGGTAACACCCACACTTAGGGTGTGCTTTAGATGATCCAATCAAGAAGATCTCCCTCATTTCATTTAATCCCAGATCCAGTCAAGTTGACACCCAGGATTAGCCATCACACCCCCCAATATCTGAATATAGGAGGAAATTGCCAAAAAGTCTGAAACTACACTCTTGTGGGTAGCTTCTTAACATCTTAACCTTTGAAACTGAATATTTGGATTTACTTGCTTTTATACGAATGATTAAAGGAGTTTTATTGAGGAATGGAGAGCCATCTCTATTTCCTAGAAAATACCTGTGAACCCAGCTAAATGGTATTTCTTTGGAAAATAATAATAAATTAGAGCCCATTTCCACTCAGATATCATTGGGTTTTGGATATATATTATGTGTGTGTGTGTGTGTGTGTGTGTGTGTATTATATATACATATAGATGAAAGCACTGCTTTTGTTAATAAAACACTGGGTTTTTTGTGGCTAATAGAGGCATGGTTGATAAAATGTCAGTTGTATTTTAAGTTTTTCATGCTTTAAAATTTAATCTAAATGTGTTAATCTACATGATAAATACTAGAATACAAAAAGCAGAATTTCTTATTTAATATGTATTTTATGCTAGTTAATCATTGTCTATAAATAGGAATTATTTTCTAAAGAGAAACTGAAGAAAGACTCAGTCATTAGTCTCTTAAGTTTGCTAGATTTAGACCAGTTTTTTTGTACTGCAGCACTGTACCACTGAGTACCAGTGTCTTTTCCCCTGCAGCAGTATTTATGGTCCCTCACTACTAAGCATTACTGCCTCCATATTCAGTCCTCTAAGGCTGTGTGTTATATGGGCATTGCCAACAAAGAGCACAGATCAGTGATTGGCTGCAGATGAATAATTGACCACTTAGAAATAAGGATGGTCTTCCCTAGCTCACTTCTTGCGCAAGCACTGCCAATTCATAAGAACCCAATTTGAAGTTTAAGTAGATTTTACTGGCACAAAGCCCACTTGCTTTAGCATTATTTAAAATGTGGCTACAGATATATTAAATTAACCAAAACACTTTAGGACAGAGTCTCACTGCTTTTTCAGAACCATTCTGTAAAGGCTTGGGGATTTGGCTCAGTGGAGGAGCAATCGCCTAACTTGTGCAAGGCCCTATGTTTGAACTGCATCACCACAAAATTTAAAAAAATTTTTCCATAATAAAATTAATCTTGTGCTTTTCAATAGGAAGTATGTATAATAAATGGCAAATCATTACAAAGTTTGTTAAAGCTTACATATTCCTCAATAATAGAATGACTTAAAATTTTGATTATAATAGATATGTTCATTACCAGTAACAATAACAATACCTAAATGTCTAAATGAAAGTTAAAGTCAAAATGTTAGAAAGTTTACACAGCCTCAGGGGAATGACTTTTTTATTCCCTAAAATCTTCAAATACTGAATATGTACGTTAGCGTTACTGTCTTGGTGGTAGAAGAAAATTTGCAGTAAAATTTTGCATTGTGTGTAAAATACATATGGTATATTTATACAAGTCAGCATTTCAAACCCTTCTAGTAGAGTAGACTTCTATTGAGGGTCTTTTAGGACATTATCATGGTGGTCACTTTAAGGTTGAAAGAAGTACTGACCTCACTAAAGGCTAGAACTTGTGTCTTGGAGGAGCAGGGTACTTCATGCTAGCCTTTTACTTTCTAATTACTTTTGTTAAACACAGAAGTGGGTCAGCCTTAAAGGGTGGCAACTATTTTAACAGCTTTTGACTAGAGAAACTTTTCCATTGTGGGGCCAGGGGAATGCTCCATTTTATAACACAGGCAGAGTGGCTCCTGGGTCTGCAGCTCATGATTCATGCAGCGTGTGCTTCTCCTTGGACTCTGTATACCCTCCTCCCCATGTTCTCCTTTCTTCTTTGACCTTTGTTCACTGATCTCTTCCTGAATGGAAATCTCCAGAATAGATTAAATTCTAGAGTGCTGAGAAGCAGGATCATTAGTAAAACTGCAGCAGAGCGCTTGAGGCCTGGTTTCTAAGACCTTCAGTACAGTTGCCCGTGGCCTCATTGACTAGGTGCAGTACAGTGTAGGGCTTTGTGAGGCTGCAAATCTAGGAGAGAACAGTGACACTAGAAGTCCCAGATAACTCCAACAGAAGGCTTATTTTCAGGACAACCTATCATATCCTCTGTGGGGGTTCTTTGGTTGAGGGTAGTGCATCATTCAGTAGTACGGTTGTCTTGGAGGGCCCTGGGCAAGCAAAAACTAAACTGCTGATTTGCCTGAGGCCCTCAGGGACCCCTGAGGAAAACAGATGTTTAGATCTCATGTTCTTTGATACTTCAGAGATTGTCAGTAGAATGTAGTATGTAGCCATTGTTTTCCACCTAGTGTTAAGATATAAAATCTGATCCAGAATGCCTGTAACTGAGCTATCTTCAAAAAAATCAGTCAAAGGTTTTGGGATATAGCTCAGTGGTAGAGCTTGCCTAGCATGTGCAAACCCTGAGTTCTACCCACAGCACTCAAAAACAAACCAGCAGTCTAGTGTGTAAGGATTGTATCATGGGTTAATTTTTGTGAACTCCCTTTAATGGGACTTTTGCATTAGATTCAAATTGTTTGACTGCTACAGGTATAGGTCATGTGATGTTCAAGCTGGATAAATGACAGCTGTTGTTAATATGTGCAGCTGGTTATTATAGAATCCATCCCATAAACCTTGATTAATAAAAAGCTGCTATTTTCTGTTGTATGTTGCAATGGGAGAATAGGGATTTCAGGGGGAAACTGGAAAGCAAATAGACCATTGTTAATCTGGAATCTGGGGTTACCAAAAATTCTTTCATGTCACACAGCTCATCAGTGTTGGATAGCCTTGGAGAGCCAGTACCCATGAGGACACTGTTGAGGGAAGCCTGGTGAGGGGGACCCTGAGTTGAGGACTATCTAGGGACAGGCCAGCTGACTCAGTACCATCTACCAGATACCTGTATCTCAGGTACCTTAGCTGCTCTCCCAATCTTGAGATTAGAGCAGAAGCTCTGTTTTGCTTGTTGTCCAAGATCTAGGGTTCCTTGGCAGTAACCCCCTCAGCAAAACACCACAAAGATGTGGTTTGTCACAGAAATAATCTTAAGGCCCCCTTCATGGGATGGTAGACACCAGTGCCAACTGGGTCTGTTGGAGGGGCACAGGCCAAAGTGAGAAGTGCTGTGTCTAGGAAAAATGGGCACCATAAGCATTGTCCTGCCTTGGGATACTCTGCACTACTGCCTTCTGGGCCTAAACCACCCAGGCACTTACAACACCCATGGCAGGTTTAAATGCCTGGTATTGGGTATCTGTCCTTCCTTCCTTCCTCCTCTTCTTCCTCCTCCTCTTTCTCTTCCTCATTCCCTTCTCCCTCTTCCTCCTCCTTCTCCCACCTCCTCCTTCTCCCTTCTCTTCCTCTTCTTCCCTCTTTTCCTCTTCCTTCTTAAAAAAATGAAGTCAAAGACTAATTTATAGGTTCTGTTAAAACTTGATACTTATTTGATACTTATTCTTTCATTTTGTGTGGTCTTCCTGGCTAACTAATGTAGAATTTGGAAATCATGTCTGAATGTTCTCTTTGGCCACTCTGGATTGGGCTGAGACCAAAAATAACTATTTATCTTAAGCTGAATTTTCCTTAATGTTATATTACTGGAGATTTCCTGTATGCTGCAACTAAATATTATTCCTGTGGGGTGGATGCTACAGGCCTTTGTGTTGCTGTTTCTGTATTACCTTGCTAACAGTGCTGCATGCTTTGGTTTTGGTTTGTTGCCTGATTCTTCAGTAAGCCTGTGTGTGTATGTATATATGTATGTATTTTCACAAGAATGGGGAAGGTGTAGAAACACCTAATACAGCTAGGAGAAGGTGCTCAGTAGTCATCTTGAGTGCCTGTTATTAAAGGTCAGATCAGATCCCTTTTCCTTATCATGATTAATGCTTAAAATGAGGATGCTGTGTCCTTCTAAAACTGTTAAGTACAAATTAGTCATGGTACCTGTGGGATTAGTCAGTGATACCAGCCTTAAAGTGCTAAAGGCACTGAGCCTAGTAGAGTGTTTTCTATTATCTTAAGTTTTTAAAATCAATTCATGAAATTCATTATTATGTTTCATATTGAGATTTATGAAAAATAAGTGCCAAATACAAATTTTTTATCTTTTGAAATTACAAAAAGTTTGATTTTTAACAATGTAGCATTCAGTAGATAGCTTGTATGTTGTCCTAATTTCAGTCTGTTCTCAGGCAAATGTGAGTATATTTTTATCGCCAGTTTTCATTTGTAATGGAACTTCATTTTAAAAATAAATTTTAAAGCAGCTTTATAAATGCTTTTCTTTCATAATTTGAGCAATTATTTTTCACCATTTTACCTCCAAACAGCATGTAATCCCTCATTTCAAATGACATCTGGGAAGATTCTCTTCACCTTGTTCTCTTTTATACTTCCTAGTTAATATTTCCCAGCAGCCCATTTAAAGATGTCCCTCAGGAGTTGAGCAGCTTCTATGGCGTAATCAGGGAAGTGGTTATTTGATTTTACTACTTAGGATTTATTCACTGATCAGTTGTTGGTGCATAGCTTTCATTAACATTTCACTTTACTTGGGATTCCAAGGTGATAAGAATGTCACTTAAGGAACAGTAGAGCTTTGAAAAATGTTTTCTTGTTCACCATTAATCATTTAGTGACTGATTAGTCAAATATATGAAAGATTGAAAGGGTTGGCACCCTAGAATTTTTTATGTATTGCGTTTTTTAGGTTGTTAACCATTATTTGTTACCATCATAGAGAATGGTTATCAGCTTAGTAATAGACTGCTCATAATTTTGTACTCCATCCACACACATTTGAGATAGTACCGAAAAAGTATTGGGTGGGGATTTGGAGTTTAGCTTGTTTATTGTTTCAGTAAAGAGTGATTGGGAGTTGGAGTTACAACTTTTTCTTTAAAGGGGAAAATCTGTGGCCCATGTGTGTTTGAAATGCATCATCTAGCTCCCATGATATTTCTGTTCATAGACTCAAAACTGGTCTAAGGTGATGCTAAAAGAGATCTTTTGGTATCTAATCTCTTAGCAGGAGGAGCAATCTCAGAACTGTTGTGAAGACCTTGAAGCTCTTCGTTCTTCCCCACTTTGCCGTCAGGTAGCCTTTGGACAGTGTGGTCAGTCATTTGAGATTGGCTTTAATTGAAAACAAAGGCCTCTGCCTCCCACCCAGGGGGTGGAAGGAGTGGATTTTATGTTTGAATGAAGAAGTGAATTGTGGAAGAAGAGCACACGTCCCTGCCTTCCCTTTCAAGCATAAGTCCAAATAGGCTCTCAGGAATGAGGATTCATGAAGACGTCAGGAGATTGACTCATTTCAACTTCATACTTGGTTGTGTTGCTGATGAAAAATGCCAGTTTTTACTCACCTAACTTGAACTCACACGGTTTGGACTTGTTATTTCCCATCTGTTACTTGCCTTCCATCTACAATGCATGTCCTTGAGTGACTTGTTCTTATCTGAAATTTTGCTACCATTATCCTAGGAAAACTGTTGCATTTTCTGTTTCTTTCAATTTTAACCTTCGCTCCCAGTTGCTTCCTGTATGTCCATATTGTGTGTTAGGCAGAAAAGCAAGGTTTCAAGTTGACAGAAAAGGCAAGAAGGCCCCCTTGTCCTCTTACCACATTTTGCTCAGGAGCGGGGTTCTAAGAGATTCAGGGGTTTCCCTTGCATTGCTTTTTTTTTATTTTCTGGTATTGGATCTGTTTCAGTAATCATGGTTGGTTTTTTGGGGCGGAAATTAGTTTTATCCATTTCCAGCTAAGTATCATCAATAGTTTATAAATTACCTTTGCTGACTTGTAGAGTTGGAAACAAAGCAAGGTGTATTTCTCCACAATCTTCTTTTTTATGGGGGTGGGATGCCAATGCCAGGATTGACATGAAACCCCCCCCCCCCCAAATCAAAGCAACAGTAGCTTGGTTCAAATCAAAGATCAAGGTATATTCTTTAAATTATTGTCTGTGGAAACCTGTCCCCATCAGCTACAGCATGTCCCTTCCTGTAGCCAGGCCCCTTTTCCTGTTTTCAGTTACTTCCTTTCTATGAAAGGCTGCTTAGCTTGTTTTCCTTCTCTTTCTCACTCTTGTGCTCTCTCTCTCTCTCTCTCTCTCTCTCTCTCTGCATTTGCTATTCTTTTAATAAAAATAGCAAATTGGACAGATGTGTACAGTAATGTATTTGAAATTTTTTGAAAATCCAGAGTCAGCAAGCCAGGTGTGGGAAGAGTAATGTCTGTGGGGATAGCTTTTAGATTCCCTGGGTCATGCTTTTCAGCATTTTCAAAGGGGAGTCTAAATCCTGTGCTAATTGGTAGAGGCTTCTTTAGGTAGTCAAACACGTTGATTACCTGTAGAAATCACAGTGGGCCACATCACGCAGAGCTCCTTTGTTCCAGCCCCTACTTCAGAAGTTGGAAACATCTCTCCCAGAGTCAGATGCAGAATGTGTATGTTTTTAGTTGCCATTTCTTCTTCCTTAAGTTCTTTGTGAATTCCATGTGAGTGAGACCAGGGGTTGCAGTTGGTAGGTAAGTGGCTCATAGGACATGGTTTTGTTTTGCAGACGTTATATCCATTCCATGACTCTGCAGCACACTACAGTAGTGTGTAAACTGATAGAGGGTTTTCTGCCTTGTTTCCATGTGCGAAGTAGCTTGCTTTCCTCCATCTGTATGTCCTGATGCTTATGCTGTGTCCATTTCCTCTGCTGGCTTCTGAGAAATTCAGCTAAAACCCTGTCAGATTGTTTCTGGCAGCAGCTCCTAATATTTATGCTTTTGGAAATTTTTTGTCAGCTCCTAAAACCCTCTGTCCACTTGAGTTAGATGTCTTGATTTCTGTAATATATGTATATTCTTATCCTCCCTTTTGTCATCTTCCCCAACTCTCCATTTTGTTTTTTAAAATGTTCTGTAGTTTTGTACAAGATGAGATTTAGCTTTGGGTACTTACTGCTGAAGCTTTAATGCTTTGTAAATAAAATTGGATGTTTATTAAACCATGCGTGTAGATGTTTATAAACACTGACTGCTTCTGGAACTCATCGACCACTCTGCTTTTGTACAACAGAAAAATGTGTGTGGTTTTAGATCTTTCTGTGTTGTTATTCGGAGCTAGAAGGGTCAGATAGTCTGGATTTTCTGTCATTGTACAAAACTATAAATAAATGACCTGAGCCAAAAGCTGGTGTTAATCAGAAAGATCATCTAGAAATGCTGTCTCTTCATATTCTTTAACTCAATATAAACTTGAAGAGGCCACAGTGCCAGGTATTCTGGGAGGGCACAAAAATGCATGCCAGGGAGTTTCAGCCTTCTTGATCTTTTTTAGTCTAACTATAATTTAAATTCTAACTAATCTTTTTCTCTGATTAAATAGCCTTAAAATTCATGGAATATTCTCTATCTCTGAAAGAATAAGATGTTTTGCAGAACATGGTGGTATGGGTTCAACAAATGCCAAATCTGTTTGCTTTCTAGTCTTATGTCACTTAGAATCTGTCTTTGGCATCCTAGCTGTTTCATAGCAACCTTCTTTGATGTAAGCAAACAATGAGCTCCTCTATTCTGCATGGTAAAGAGATGATGCTGAGAGTCAGCATCATCTTCCCACTGGGCCACATCTATGATCCCCTTGAGAAGGAGAGTACCTGGAATAGGAAGAGGAGCTGCCTTAGCCATAGCCTCGCTTGCTCCTCTGGAAGGGTATGTTGGATGTGGATTTTCACTGGGTTGGCTTCAAATGCCCTATGTAGCTAGAATGACCTTGGACTTCTGATTCTCCTGCCTCTACCTCCTGAGTGCTGGGATTATAGGTGTATGTCACTATACCCAGTTTATGTGGTGCTGGGCATCAAACCCAGGGCTTCATTTATGCTAGGTAAACACTCTACCAGCTGAGCTATAATTATCCTCTCTCTCTCTTTCTCTCTCTTGCTCTCTGTTTTGGTTTTTTGGATTAAAATTTTTTATTTATTTTAATGTGTGTGAATGTTTTGCCTGCATGTATGTAAGTGCACCTATGTCATGCAGTGCCTGCAGAGGCCAGAAGAAGGTATTGCATCACCTTGAACTGGAATTACAGACGATTGTTAGCTGACATGTGGGTGCAGGGAACTGAACCTGGGTCCTCTGCAAGAGCTGCCAGTACTTTTAACTGCTGAGCAATCTCTCTAGCCTCTTCTGAGATTTTTTTTTTTTTTCATTTTTAACTAAAGTTTTTTTCTTTTGAGGCAGAGACTACGTAGCCCAGGTTGGCCTTAACCTTGCCGTAGTCCTGTTGCCTCTGCCTCTGCCTCTGCCTCTGCCTCTGCCCCAGGGTGTGTACCACCACACCTTGCTTTTCATTCCTCTTTAAAAGTTTTTGTGCATGACCATAGTTCACATTGTAGAAAGTGTGTTCAGATGCACTGCTCAAAGTGACCTTCCTGAAACTGGCAGGGAAGTCTTACAATGTAAGAAATTCAGGAAGGGTGAGTCACTTGCCTCTAGTCCAGAGTTCTTTATCTTTTTAATATAGATAGGAACTTTTATAGTAAATATTTCAAGGTATTGAATATGAACTTAATTCAAATTGGCACTCCTCTCCTCCACCTTCTTAAGACTGGTATTTTCTGTTTGGTCAGATTTAGCTTGGGACTTTGAAACCTTCCACCGGTTGGAAGGGAGGGGAACAGTTTAACTCATGCTTTTGAGGTAATGTGGAAATTCACTTCAGTTTCTGAAGTCTTTTTTTTTTTCTTCTCAATTGGTGGGTTTAAATTCAGTAGAAAGAAGTGACAAGAATAAAGCCTGGGAAGATGGCCCTTAGCAAGCATGGATAATCAAACAACAGCATTGTGACTCTTTTTCTGCCTGTGGCCTCAACTATGAATAAGGACTGCACCTCTGTGCATTTGGTTGGTTTGTTAACAGTCATTCATCACATCTCTTGATGCTAAAGGCTATCCCACCTTGCAGGATGTGGATTATGGTACAGTAGAACATTCATCTGGAATTCCTGTTGGTGAAAGCCTACTGAGACATGAAGACTTGGGCCACTAGTTTTATTTTTGAGAGCCTGGTGTTGACAGTCTACCTGCCTGTGTTATTAGCTTCACCTAAAACACTGGCCATCCCTGAGAAGCTGCAGCAAGCTGTGGGGAGAGTCATGGTCAATGCCACGACATGCACTGTTACATGTGGCCTTGGTTATAAGGAGGAGACTGTCTGTGAAGTGGGCCCTGATGGAGTGAGGAGGAAGTGCAAGTCTCAGCGCTTGGAGTGTCTAACCAACTGGATCTGTGGAATGCTCCATTTTACCATTCTCAAGGGGGAGGAATTTGAGCTTAGCTGTCTCAGTTCAGACATCCTGGATATCGGGCAGGAAGCTTTCCGTTTCACCTGGAGGCTTGCTCGGGGCATCATCTCCACCAATGATGAGGTTTTCAAACCCTTCCGAGCCAACTCCCACTTTTTGAGGTTTAAACCTGCTCAAGAATATGACTCTGGGACATACCGCTGTGATGTGCAGCTGCTAAAAAACTTGAGACTTGTCAAGAGGCTCTATTTTGGGCTGAGAGTCCTTCCTCCAAAGTTGGTAAACCTGAATTTCAATCAATCCCTTACTGAGGATCAGAAGTTAATAGATGAGGGCTGGGAAATTAATCTTGACAACCATTCCAAGCCTCACCTCCCAAAGTGGCAAAAGAAGGTAGCATCAGCCTTAGGCATAGGCATTGCTGGTGGAGTGGTTGGTGGTGTGTTGTTGAGCATTGCTCTCTGCAGAGTGTTGAGGGGGACCTACAGTTATGGCAGCCTCGGCAGCTTATAAGCCTTTCTTCTGGGGAAAGCCCAGGAAGCCAAGCTAACTTTGTAGGTGAGTGTCCTGGCTGCCTGCCTGATAGTGGAGTGGCTAAGAGAGAGGCTCTCCCAGCCAAAAGACTGGCTGAGAGGTGTGGAGGATGCAACCTCATGATGGCTCAAGGCAGCAGTCTCTATCATCTTCATGTTGAGTCTGCCTGACACTAGGTACTCAGGGGACCCACTGCAGGCTTTGCATCTATTCTTAGGGAGAGTTCTGTTTGCCAAGCTTGCTTTGTTTCCACTCATCACAGCTTGTGTGCTACTCCCCTCCATTGCCATTCTTCTGAACAGTCTTTGTATGGGCCAGATGTACTGATAGCTGTTTCAGTAGAAACATTTTTTTTTAAATTTTTGTCTTCAATAAAAATAATTCAACGTAACTGTGGATACCTAACTTTTTCTCTTTTAAAAAACATTTTTTATTTTTATTTTGTATGTATGAGTATATCACCTGCATGTATGTAAGTGCACCTGAGTCATGCAATGCCCACAGAGATCAGAAGAGGGTGTTGGATTCTACTGGGACTGGAGTTACAGACAGTTGTTAGCTGCCATGTGGGTGTTGGGAATCAAACCCAGGTCCTCTGCAAGAGCAGCCAATGCTTTTAACTGCTGAGCCATCTCTCCAGCCCCACATTTTTCTTTTTTATTCTTTAAACTTTCTTGCATGTAGACATTGTCCCATAGTTGACCTGGCTCTCATTTTCTGTGGGTTTCTTAGAACATGCATTGGACAGATTGCTTTGTGTAGGCTATATGCCTATGTGTTACAGAAGTTACTAGTAATGACACCTCGCTTGGGTGATAGACATTTGTGAGTTATTGATACATTATCTGATCTCCCTGGTGAACCTATGTTTAGTATTAAGTTGACTATTCTGACAAAACACTGGATTTTTCCGGCCGTTGAGGAGCCCCTTGCTTTGCTTCTTGCTCCTTTTCTTATGTACTTGCTGCACCTGGAGCTTGTGTTCCTGGAAAGATCGGGTGTATTGGTTTCTTATAGCAGCTGAGCCCCCCGCCCCTTGCCAAGGGAGGATTGATAACTTTATTTCTCCTTAGGAAGTATAGTCTTAAGTCCCTCAGGGGTTGGTCAGTCAGAGGGAGTCTGAGGTAGTTGGCTTACAGACCCATTGGGGGAAAGGCTTTTGGCCACCAGCTGAGCTAATTCAGCTGAGAGAGGTCTAACATTTCTTCTTACCTTTCTCTTAACTGTGGGAATAGCAGAGCCTCTCTTCCCTAGTTGTGCTCCCCAATTTCAGGGATGACTGAAAACTAAAGAAACCCAGCCCAGAGATGCTGATTCATTTTAGGTTATGGCCAAAGGATTTCTATTATTTCCTTTGTTATTTTTAAAAAGGACTTTTATTTTAGTGTGTGGGTGTTTGCCTGCATGTATGCATGTGTCTGCAACCATATGTAGTGCCATGGAGGCCAGATCCCCTGAAGTTACAGGTGGTTGTAAGCTCCATGTGGATGCATGGGAACCTCTATTAGAGCAGCAAATGCTCTTAACTACTAAGCCATTGCTCCAGCCCAAATCTCTCCATAAGACTCTTTTTTAGAGACAAGGTCTCAATATATAGCCCTGGCTGGTCTAGAGCTTGCTATGTAGATCAGGTTGTCTTGAACTCAAAGAGATCCCCTACCTCTGCCTCCCAAGTGATGGGACTAAAGGTGTGTGTCATCATTCCCAGCCATTCCTTTATTTTTAACTTTTAAAAAGTTTCAGACCCTTTTCCCATACTTTTCAATTATTGTCACAGTTATCCTTCTAAATATATTGATTTTGCTGAATCATTTAAAACTAGACACAAACATGACCTTTTTGTATGTGTATATGTGCAGGGTGAGGTGTATATGGCATTGTGTGTGCACGTATGAGCTTGTCTGTGTGAAGGCTAGAGGTCAACCATGGTGGGGTATGTTCCTTAAGAGCTGTCCGCTTTGTTTTGCATTTGAGACAGGGTCTGTCACTGGAACCTGGGACTCACTGATTAGTCCAGGCTGGCTGGCTAGCAAGCCCTAGGAGTCCATGTGTCTGCCTCTTCAGTGCTAGGATTACAAGTATGCATCCCCATATCCAGCTTTTTGTGTCCTCAGGTCCTCATGCTTGTGTAACAAGCACTTTACCAACTGAGCTTTCTCTTGTATAGCCATGTATCTTTATCATACCTGTCAAAATGAACAGTTCCCAGTTTTAAATCTAGCTTCTGTTCAGTTTTTCAATTTTCAAAACCCCTAAAGCTTTTTGATGTAATTTTGATCTAATATCAAATAAAGGTTCATGTACCACATCTGATTTTTTTTGTCTTATCTTAGTTTTCAGCAGGACTTTGCTTTTCATGACATTGATTTTACTGGAGTCTGGTTGTCCAGTTATCTCAGTTGCTGACCCACAGTCTGGATTTGCCATTTCCTCATGATTAGATTCATGAGGAATAACTCTTCAACATTTTTGAGAAAAGCCTGACATAGATATGTACTTACTGTATCACACCAGGAGGCTCGTAATGCTACCCTCTTCTGTCACTTCAGAGTGGGGGTTTTGGAAGACCTGGTTCTGGCTCTGTGTTGCTGTCAACTATGTAGTAAAGCAGGCCTCACCTTTGAAACGAGTTTGAGAATGTCATTAATGTCATTAAAGATGCTTTTTAGTTCAGTACTAGGCAATTTGCAGAACCTTCAGGAGATAGCTCACTAAAGATGATCATGAGGATTATGTTTGTATGTAATGAAGCCAGTAACACACTAATGAAGGGTGCTGCTTTGCATTTTGTGGATGGAGATTGACTATTGCAGTGTCAAGTATGAGGTGGATAGCTCCTGGTTTATAGTCTTCTTTCTGTGCATTGGACTCTTAAATTTTTTTTTTTATTTTTTATGTATGTGTGTATTGTGTGCATGTAGGTAAGTGCACCCGTGTTGTGCAATGCCCGTAGAGGTCAGAAGTGGCTGTTGGATCCCCTGGGACTGGAGTTACAGACAGTTGTTAGCTGCCATGTGGGTGTTGAGATTCGAACCTGGGTCTTCTGCAAGAACAGTCGGTGTTCTTAACCGCTGAGCCATCTCTCCAGCCCCTGGACTCTTAAATTTTGACACAGGATATGAAGCAGTTGAAAAGGGAAAAGAACAAAAGACTTTCAGATGTGTTTGTAAAGTCAATAAATTAGTTCAAGCTGGGCACGCTGGCATATTCCTGTAGTTCCAGCTATTGGAGGCTGAGACAGGGGGATTGCAAGTTCAAAGCTAGTCTGGGCTACTTAGCTTCATGACCAGCCAGGGCATCTTAGCAAGATATTATCTCCAAGATGAAAAAAGGGCTGGGGATATAGCTCAGTGGTAGAGCATGTGTTTAGCATATACATGGCCTTGGGTTCAGCACCAGGTACTGTAAAACAGTAAACAAAACTTGCAATCCCCCCCCCCTCAGTTCAGTTCATTGAGTTCTGTGCATATAAGTTGCTTGGGAGGGTCAAGGAGATGCTAACTGGACTAAAATTTGGGTCCTAGAATGACCAATATTCCCAACATCCCCTTCGGGTATGACATGGAAAATAGGCCCATTGTTGTACCCATGTAGACCACCTCTTAGGCTGAATAGGCCTAAGTCAGAAATCTAACCACTGAGTAGAAGGCCTCCACTCACCTTCCTTTCCTTCTTCCTCAGAAAAACACAAATTGGAATTCAGCATAGGTGCCCTACCCACTTAGCACTGAAAAATCAAACCAGACTGCACAAGTTTAGCCCTGTGCATGCCTTATCTGTAATGGAAGTCTAATCAGCATTTGTTGAAGCTGGAGCCTGACTAGGAACGCCAACTCTTTGGGCCATCCTGAGCAGACAAGATGCAACAATTGGTTTATAGACCTCTTTACCAGTTGGAGTCATTAATCTTTGCAGGGAGGGGACTTCCCTTTAGGAACAGGGAGTTAACATTTCAAATGTGTTAAAATCAGGGAAGCTGAAAGTAGTTCTGTCCCGGTCTGGCTCTGCCTCTGCCTGCAAGTCTCCCCGCCTGTCTTTTCCCTCCCAGGATGGATGAAGCAGTGTGGACTGTTTGTACAACTTCCTCAGAGTTGACTGTAAAGAGTGGCGTGCTTTAGTCAGGTGATGAGGACACTGCAGCTGCTGCCAGCTTCCTGGGCAGGTTGAGAAACCATCTTTATTTAAGAACTGCCTGCTACCAGAGTCAATAAATAATTACTATTACAAGAGTGCAACTGGGCCAGGGTAGAGGGGCTGCATTTGAATAATAACTGTCATCAGTGGTCCAATGAAGCCCTGAGCTCAGAGCTGTGCAGGTCCTGAAGTGGAGGCTAAGTTGGAGGTCTCAGGGGCTAAAGCAAGCAGAGTTCCTATAAGGGAACTAAATGCCTTAAGCCTCTGGGGCTCTGGGCAAAACTGGTTTTGTTCTTCTCCAGTTTTCTTTTAGTGCTCTGCCTTCCCAAAGCCTGTGACCATACATATAGGTTCAAGGGGATACCTCCCTGCTTCCAGCTCTGCTTCCAGTGAGCATTTTTAAGTCCTTTAGGATCCCCTGTCCAGGTTCAGTCCCAGCGGAGAGACAGTATCACACCCATGTTGACAACAGGTGTGAAGACACCACTCTTGCTGGCATGCAGAAGCCCTGTTGGCAGTCTGTGTGACACCAGGAAGAGAAAAGGTGCCTCTGTTGCTGGGGAAAAGGTGAGGGAAGGAAAACATCACTAACCATGTTGAGCTCTTGGCCAGAGTACAGGCTGGATGGCTTTTGGGACTGCCAAGGGGCAGTGCCCATTGGGGAAGGCACTAATTTGTAAGTACTGTTCCTGGGGTGAGCCTTTCCCCTTAATGGCTTTTTCTAAGCTGCTCTCCTGTGCTGGGCACTTTGATTCTAAGAACCTTGGCTCTGGAAGGCATTAAACAGCACCTCCAACCCCTCAAGTCAGGACTTCACCCAATCTAGATCCAGCAGTGACATTCAAAGTTCCTCACAAGTCTCAGGAAAAAAGCCCCTTACCCATTCCAGGTTTTTCTGTTGTTGACTTAATTCTCTCCTGTTGGTACTTTCTCAAAAGAGTCTCCTCCCTGTCCCCATGACCTTGCCACCCTCCCCCAAAACCATCTGGATCTCTTGCTGCTGTGAATGACAGTAGATCCACCCTCATTTACACCATCAGAGGACAAGGACTGAGTCCCTGTGTGTGCAGAACAGAGGGCACCTCTCCACACCCTCAAGAGGTGTCTGCCGGCAGCCCTCTTCCTAGTCCTCAGAGCATTTCCTGGCTACTAAGCCTGAGCAAAGTACTTGTTTGCTATCCCTTTTGCCTCCTCTGTGGTTTAGTGTGAGAGGATGGAATCTATTAACAGTCATAAACCGCAGCAGGAGCCAGCCCACCAGTTTCCCCAGCCTGTACGAAAGCCCTAAGGACCTTTCATACCCCAGTTATCTCAGCAAGAGGCTTTTCATTTATAAGCTTGCATGTTGTCAAGTCACCTATGGTCTCATTAAACCTTATCTAACACTACCTGAAGCCCTAGGCTGCTGGTATAGTTTCACATCCCCCTAAGTAAATTTTGTCTGGGTCTCCCAGCAGCTTGCCTGCCTTTCATGGACCTTGTTAGAAGTAAGGTAAGCTTAGGGGCTGCAGCCTCCCACTTCCCTAGTGAGGTCCAGTGCCAAACCAGCTCACCCTGCCCAGTCACTGGATACCCATCTCCCTACTACCCTTGCTGCAGCCTGAGGCAGTGAGAAATACATAAACCTTAGGTTTCTTTGAGCGCCCTCTTTCTGACAAGCCAAATCCCAGCCAGCAGGAGAGGGTTGCTAGACAAACTTTGGGGTTCCTTTGAGGGAGAATGATCACATGGCTGAACCCCTATCACCCTTGCACGTGGGGTGCCAGGAACAGGAGAGGGAGGATTTGATCAGCTCCAGGGAAGCAGTCCTTAGGGGCAGGTAGGTTTCGGGGTGGTAGGGAGATGTGTGAGCTTACATCTTTAAAAAATTGTAGTGGGTAAATATCAGCATAAACCTGCCCAGGAAAACAGAGCAGGACTTAAAAGTTTAGAAAACCATAACAAAATAGAGCTCTAACTATAAACTACAGAAAACAGGTTCCTGGAGCAGCGGGGCAAGTGCTCTTCAAGGCGCCTGTTCTGCTGTTCCTATGGGCCTAGGGTGTAGACACTGGGTTTCCTGGTCCTGTTGCCTTGGATTCCTGGACTTGGAGACTCAGTCCTTGCTTTGGCCTATTTTCTTGTAGCAAAAAGAGGCTTCAGCTATGTTGCTGGGTTCGCAGAAGCCAGGCTCAGAAGGCAAAGAAGGCCCGAGGACTCCGGGGATCTGCCTATGCCTTGGCTGGGCTCATTCATCCTCGATGATCCTCCTCACCAGCCTGAACCCCTTGAAATAGAGGGCTCATCCTCCAGCAGCCTTAGCTATCTTTGTAACCAGGCTATAGTCAGCATCACCTTCCTCCACAGAGCCTCTCATAGGCAGGTGGGAGACTCCAGTGGTTGACCCAGCCCTGTCACTTACAGACCATGTGGTCCTGGAGAACCTCCGTTTCCTGTTAAATGTAGGATGTAGGCAAGTTATCCAGTTCTGGTGGTCTGGTCTGTCAAGGGCAATGTACCTGAAGGTAGATTGCCCCCTTTATTAATTCCTTTTTCTTCTGGAGAATTGAGAGCAGTTGAGGCAGTCTGGGGTGCAGAAGTGGCCAGGTGATTGATCAAAGCTATTCCTGGAAGCAGGCAGGGCCATGTTGATGGCCCTTCTCAGAAGCCTCCCCATCCCAGGACAAATCAAGAGTGTTGTGTTGAGGGCTGGTGTCCAGGGCCTGCAGATGTTGAAGGCAGAGGCAGCCGCAGCTCTGTAGCAGAGCTGGAGGGAAGAGTGGCTTTCAGGTGGATGTCTTCTACCCACACCCTGGAGGGGCTATGTAGGAGGTGTCTTGGTGGGGTGAAGCATCTCAAGACAAGCCCTTTAGTCACTCAGCCACCTGAAGTGGCTCTGTCACTCAAGGGTGACAGGTTGGGTTGGCAGTGTTGGCTGAGAGGGCAGTGTCACCTGCATGGTGAGTGGGCTTTGGCCTTGGACCTAAGCTGGTGCCCCTTTCCATCAGTGGTGTAGCCTCTCAACCTTTTTGAGCTCTTATCCCCAGTAGCCCAGGGTGTGGTTCTTGGCCCCCAAGCATGCAGGGCTGCTAGGGAGCCATGGAGGACCACACCAGGCCAGCCATGCTGCTTCTCTAGCAGAGGACTAGGAGAGGTCCCTCTGTCGTGGAAAGTAATTGATTCCTATCTTCAGCTCACTGCTGCCCATGTTCCTGTTGGGCCTGGGACTCTGCCCTCAGATGGCAGTGCCCATGTGTGGTCCTAGAGAGCCAGCTACTCATCTGAAGATGTGTATTAAACCCCTTCTGACCACAGGCCTGTTCCTTCTGTTCAGGACCCTTTGGGATTCAGGCACTGGGCTTAGTATCATCATGGAAATCACTGCCTAGTACCTCTCGATTTAAACTAAAAAAAAAAACCTTGCATGGTTCTGTCCTGTGGCAGAATATGAAATATCCTACCTCCTACAAAAAGGGTACTGTTCAGGGTAGGTGTTTAAGCCAACCACTCTCAGGCACAGTGTTGGACCACCTTGGCATTGAAAGGGGCTGTGTCTAGCCGCTGTGTCCATTAGGGTAGGTGTCCAACTTGGGTGTAGCAGGCAGCACTGAGATCAGAGGTCCAGGCAGTGGATGAGGATCAGCATCACGGTGCAGGAGAGTACAGGGCCAGGATGGGCCATGCGAACTGCTGTGTTCTCCACCATCATGCTTGTGCCTGGAACCAGCAGCAAAAATGTGGGACTGAGTCCTCTGGACTGGAGTCACCTAGCCCTGCCCGCCTAGTAGGACCCAGACATCTTTTGGGAGACACAGGCAGGCAATAAGGCCAGTAGTATTCTTGGCCTTAGTCATACAGCATTGACCAGAGCCTTTGCTCTTACTCTCCAATCCCCTGCATCCCATAAAAGAGGTGTATTCTCTCCCATGCCTTGGGGTGATTCTAGGGTGGGGAAGGGACAGTGGCATGGGCCCTTGCCTGCCTTGTTCTTTCTCCTTGGGGGTCTAAGTTAGAGTTGGCTTTGGTAGAGATGATCCCTTCACCAGTATCTGAGAGGGCCAATATTGCTGAGGGTAGAGAGGGGGAGAGGCAGCACCTCCGTTTCTCACGATGTGGACTTCTGCTGGGATCCCATCCCCTCCGGGACCCGTGGTCCGAATCTGTACAAGGGCATAGCCAATGTCTTCGGCTACTGGGATCTCTATCCAGTTCTTGTTGGTGAGATGGAGTGTAGGAGTCTGGTGTAAGTCATTCTGGTACAGCATCTGTGGAGTGGAAGTTTCTAGTTATACCTTCCTTGACCCTTGAGGTTTTGCCTCCTCCCCCTTTTCAATTTCTCACTATTGAAGCTTCTGGTTGGTAGAAGGTGAGTGTATAAGCAGCTAAACTGCCTTTGCAGACTCCCCAGCCTATTGCTGCCTGGGAACCTGGCCTTTTTGCTGCCGTACCATTTTCTCTGCTTTCATAGTCCCTACCTGAGCCCGGTGCACCACCCTGTGCTTTATGTCTCTCTTAGCCCCAAACTTCACACTTGTTTCTCTCTGATCCCTCTTGCTAAGATCGCTGGAAATATGGGAGCTGCTCCTCCTCATGCCAGGTCTGTGCATCCCTTCCTTACCTTGTAGCCAGTGACTGTAGACTCATTTCGGAGAGGTACTACAGGGTCCCACTTAATGCTCAGACTGGAACTCGAGAAAGTCCAGGAAATGTTGCCAGGAGGTCGCCGTGGTGCTACCAGGGGAGGGAAAGTTGGAGACACTGCCAGAGTCTTCCCTGGCTACCCTTCATTACTAGACATCCCCTTTCTGATGTCTGCCCATATAACAGAAACTCCCAGAACAATCTGTCACCATGAAAATCCAGAAGTTGGAGAAGGGAAAGGTGCTTCAGATGCCAGGGCTCTACTTCTTTATTTTAGTGGGTTCTCTGCTTCTGCTTAGTGCAGAGCACGAGTCAGGAACAAGTGTCTTATTGGAAAAAGAGAAACCCTGCACATCCCTCCCCACAGCAGGTACCCTTCCTTCCTCATCCTTAGCAGACACTCACGGGACTTCATGGTGGTGGCATCGGCAGAAGGGCTGGCTGGCCCAGTGCCAGCACGGTTATAGGCTCGCACTGTTATGTGGTACTTGGTATTGGGGTGCAGGCCAGTGACTTGGGCACTGTTTTCCAGTCCTGCTGTCCTCACTCGGTCAGCAGCTGCTTCTTTGTCCCCAGCTTTCCAGTAGCGAATCTGAAAGTGGAGGGCATGCCAAGGTCTGTGGCATAGCTCTTGGCTCCCCAGACCCCAGGCTCCTTTCCCACTCAGGGTGGTTCTGTGGCAGTCTCAGGGTTGCTAACCTGCATGCTGGGCAATGAGACCCAGTGAGTAGGGCATGTGGCTTTGAGTTCCTACATCTGTGGGTACCCAACAGAGTGCCTACTACCCAGTACATGAGCTGAAAGGAGTAGGTAGCTAGGAAGGGGATGAGCAGAGATAGGGAAGTCCCAGGCCATTGCCACCTTAAGATCCTCTGAAGCTCTTCCCCCATCCCTGAGGCCATGGCCAGCAAGCTCATCCTAGGACCAACAGAATGCCCAGGTCTGCTGTAGACCATGGCTGCCTCTATCTCCTGCACTGTAGGCCCTGGACATTGGCTCTTAGCACAATGTTCATCTTGTTCACTTAGGCTACCATGGGGGCTCTGCTGGGACATGAGATGCACGTTTGTACTTGTGAAGTAACCCTGCACTCAATGCCCAATAAATATTAAATCAGTCAACAGTGGGTTTTAAGACCTGCTAAATATTCTTCAAATTAAGGGCCAAGCTTGTCTTCTCCCAGTGGTTTGGCCAACCTATTATGCTAAAACCCAGAGCCATTCATGATGGCCCAGCTTGATAGTTCTTCAACATTGGGCCTTGCTCTTCCTATTTTCCTTCCTTCTTGATCCTTCTTGCTGAGGGATTAGCAGTAGGCTCAGAGCTCAAGCCAGAGCCTGCTGGGCCAGTGTTCCCTAAGGATAGGAGGGGCAACCATTGCATTGAGCACCAGCTGCTCTTCTAGCAGCCCCAGGACGCTGGCCTGCTGGGTCTAGCACAAAGAGAGCAGTCCATGTGCCCCTCCTCAGACCTGCTCGTCTTTCCTAACCCCAGCTTCCAGCCAGTTCTGATAAGCATTTATTTCAAGGCTGTCTATATGGCTTTCTTCCTGTGGTGGGGAGAGTCACCTATGGGGGCTTCATGCAGTTTGTAATCTGCAGTACTGCATAACCTTGGTGCTCTGTGTGTCATGAGTGATCCCACGAGGAATGTTCAGTGGGCTGTCAGATGTTCTACCTAGTCTAGAAGGCCTTTCCCTGCCTCTTTCCAGCTCCTGGTTGTTGCTCACCTCATACCCTAGGAGGATGCCATTCACGTCTTGTCGCACAGGTTCCCAGCTCACGTTCATCTCTGAGGATGAGGCTCCCTTGGCCCAGACCTTGGCAGGGGCCACCCTGGGCTCTGGGGACCAATACAGAGTGGGCGTACATTCCCAGGACATCCCTGTGTCCCACAGAGTTGCCCTAACTGGGGACTGCATTTGCTTAGGATTTTGGACAGCCCAGGGCCCAGGATAAGGAACTCCCAGTGCACGCGAGGCTTGCTTTTCCTCCTATAGGGCCTCTCTGTTCCTTCTTTGCCCCAGGGGAGTCAAGGTGGCCAGGGCAGCTAAGCACACAGGTGTTCTCTCCACTCCTGACGTGCAGGCAGCATTCCTTTACTCCTACCCTGCAGAGAGATTGTCAATGGGACAAGTGTCAAGCCCAGCATCCCACCTTCCTCTGCTGAGTACACTAGTGCAGTGAGACTCTCGGGCCCATCTCCACGGCGATTATAGCTTCTGATCTTGACCTCAAAGGGTGTGTAAGGCTGGATGCTCTCATTGCTGTAGACAAAGTACTGGGCATCGGCGCCAGGCACCCGGGTGGTCTGCCAGCTGCTGCTGCCCTGCCTGCGGAAGGAGAGCAGGTAGCCGAAGCCATCTCCATTCTGGTACTCGCGTGACATAGGCTGAGGGTGAGAGCACAGCATGAGCCAGGGGTTGTGGGTACATGTCCCTACCCATCCTTCTGGCTCCACCTAACCTTCACCCAAAGAAGCAGCCCTTGGACCCCTATCCTCCCTACCCCCGTAGATTTAATGAGAGACAGCAGGTGCATGGGGAGGGCAGGAGAAGGAAGGGGAAACTGCCTGCTTCCAACTGAGACTGCAGAGGGCCTGTCTGGTTGTGGCTGCTCGCTGGAGACAAATCAGGAAGGGAAGAAAAGGGCAGGACATGTCTCGAGAGGTAAGGCACCCCCCTGCTCTGTCCCCACCCACTTACAGTCCAGTTGATGATGAGTTCTCCTGGGGCTCCACCTCCTCCACTGAGTCCTGATGGTGCTACTGAGGGGACTGTTGGGGCCAAGGGACACAGATGTGTATGTTAGTGGGTAGTGAAGAACAAAAGCTCCCAGCTTGTGCCTGGAGAACATCTTAGATAGGATGTCCAAGTTTTGTCTTCCAGTAGTCCTGTGCATGGACGCAGAGTCAGGCCAGCCTGAGAAAAAGTTCCGTCTTTGCCATTTATTAGTGGTGCTTCCTTGGGAAAGTTACTTAACCTTTCTGAGGCCCAGTTCTCCTCTCTACATGATGAAGATGATCATGTTTCCCTCAAAGGTGGGAATGAAGTCTTAGACAAGAGGATCAGCCAACGTGTAGCAGCTGCTCTGTGAGTGCCGTCTTCACTTCTGTTCGCTTAACTAAACCAGACACTGACTCTAGTTTGCTTTAAATTGAGGGCAATAAAGAACCCCTGAACGGTTAGTGCAAAAAACATCAAAAACCAAGAAATTTGGGAGGGGATTCTGAGGTGTTCTACTGTTTTTCATTTTTTTGTGGCAGATTTAATCCCTCTCTCTAGTATTAAACAAGGACGAATTTTACTAACCTACAGAGTAATGACTGGGGTCTTCAGGATCCCTGCAGAGCACCTAGTACTTTGTGAGGGTATGTCTTTAGGCCTTGTACTTGTGCATTCGGTCCTGTGAGGTAGGCATTTTAATCACCTTTTTAAAGATAGATTGAGGTCCAGAGCAGTTGAGCAGCTTGCCTAAATTCACACAACTAATGCATGGGACCCCTAGATAAAAATGTTGAGTGATTCCAGAGCCTGAGAGTCAGTCTGGAGCAGGTGGGAGAATATGTTTAAGATAGACATGGAGGTAGACCTTTATCATACTGGTCAGATGGGAGGAGGGAGGTAGAGTCTTGATCATGCTGTTGTCCCAGGATTCCAGGCCCTCACCTACTAATAGTCAAAGAGTAGCAGGTGCCTCGATGTGGATGCAGCCATGCCTGTCCCTTCCTAGTTCCCTTACACTGTTCCCTACTTTAATTCTTGCATACTTTTCACTGAGGGTCACAGGCAGGTTATTATTTCTCCTGCTCCACTGATACCAGGTAAATGGCCTGGAGTCCAGTTGTTTCTCTAGCTTCCTGCATAGCACGTGTACACACACACACACACACACACACACACACACACACACACACACACACCCTTTCCCTGTTAGCTGATTTCTGCAGCTTTTGCCCAGTTAAATGCTGAATAAGAGTCCAGGGCTCAAAATTCTGGTCCTGGGTGAAAGATCATGTTCTCCCAGTGTGACCCTTCTTCCCTTGTTCAAACCAGTTTTCCTGTTTTAAAATGTTAGACTTAGGGCCGGGCATAGTGGTGCACGCCTTAGTCCCAGCACTTGGGAGGCAAAGGCAGGTGGATCTTTGTGAGTTCAAGGCCAGGCGTGGGTGGCACACTCCTTTAATCCCAGTACTCAGGAGGCAGAGGCAGGTGGATCTCTGTGAGTTCAAGGCCAGCCTGGTCTACATAGTGAGTTCAGGTAGCTGGGCCTACAGAGAGATCCTGTCTCAAAAAGACAAAAAAAAAAAAAAAATTAGACTTAGGGCTGGAGAGATGGCTCAGCGGTTAAGAGCACCGACTGCTCTTGCAGAGGACCTGGGTTCGATTCCCAGCACCCACATGGTGGCAACAAACCATCCTTGACTCCAGTTCCAGGGGAATCTGAAGCCATCTTCTGACCTCTGCGGCACTGCATGACACGGGTACACTCACATACATGCAGGCAATATACTCATAAACATAAAATTAAAAAAATATATATATATATTAGACTGAAATGGTGATTATAGATTTTCCTGCAAGTGTCAGTTTTTTAGCAAGAGGTTTGGATCAGGGGGCTTGTCCCTGCATCAGTCCTGCCTCTAACTTGGCATCCTGCTGGTCAGGGAGCCCAAACCTAGTGAGCAGCACCAAGGCTCCCTCTGCTGAGAATTCTCTTTAGGACCCCAGCTGCTTACCTGCTTCCTTGGTCCGGATTCTGCTGGAAGGCCCACTGGGCTCCCCTGTGCCCAGGATATTGCTAGCTGAGACCCGAAACTCGTAGTCCGTCCAGGGCATGAGGCCAAGAACCTGGGCAGTCTCAGCATTGCCTTCGATGTTCACGGGATCTGTAAGGCCCCAGGGAATCAGTAGCCAGCACCCATTTATTGCCTGGATGAAGGTAGGCTTTGGGCCTATGTCACCTTTGTACCTTCCCTCATCACAGTACTACCACATGCCTACCCTCAGTACCACTTTCAGAAATGACTGAAAAAACTAGCAAGCTCTGATGCCCCAGAGCCCTTGTCAATGCTGTATACCCCTCACTTCATGCGTGTTGAACATGCTGTCATTGCTCCAGTGATAACCCTTTTGAGGCTTCAATAGCATAGACCCTGCACCTTCCCCAGCCCTCTCCTCACCCTTCTGTTGTCTGTGACTATTCTTCTACCTACCTAGGTGCTCCCTTGAAGGTAGAGGCTCAGCTCTAGGCTAGGATCTGGCCCCCTGACCAGTCCCTATGCCCTGCTGTGCACACAGTGGGGGCTTTATCATTACTGACCCAGGTGGGGCCTTACACTTACTGGTCCGAACCTGCTTCCATTTCCCTGCAGGTGTAGTGCGAGCTTGTAGCATGTACTTGGCAATGGGGCTGTGATTGTCAAAGCCACGGCTCCAGCTAAGCTGAACAGTAGTGTCACCAATGTCTCTCACCACCACGCCTCCTGGGGGACCAGGCGGACCTACACCAAGAGGCAGAGGACACTGGGTCAGAAATGGGCAGCTCCCAATTTGAATCAGTCTTTAGATCCAGCTTGGGCTGGCTCGATATCTAGACAGGGCAGCAGAGGGTACAGAAAACACTGGGTAGGAGAGCAAATGATGGGGACAGGGGGGAAAGGGGGTAGTGTGGTAGGAGGGATGTCTCAGGCTGGAGGAGCTCACAGAGGTTGTTCATGGGGGGAGGTATAAAGATTTCCCAACACTGAACTTGAAACTCCTGAGCTCAGTAAAGTCTTGGAATGTTTGGGGTACTTTTTTATTTCAAGTTTGGCTTTGGAAGAAAAATATTCTGTTTTTTTAGGACTTGTGAAGAACCATGCTGGTATGTCTAGCTCTGTGCTTCTGTCAGTTTTCAGGGAGGAGAGTGGGATGGAGAGTGGGTCAAGTGGCTCAGAGCCTCTCTGGGACCTGGGTGTGGCTGACACCCCTCACCTCGGACCAGGACTGTGGCCTCCTTAGATGCACCATCCACCACTGTCTGGGCCATACACGTATACTTCCCTCCATGGCGTAGCTGGGCATTCAGGATGGTCAGGTCCCCAACAGTTTCCTTCTGTCACGGGACAGTCAGAGAAGCGCAAATTACTGTAGTGGACTGTGAGACAAAATGGAGCTTGGGTTCCCTAGCTACACAATATCATAGCCCTCTGTGTCTCATTTTTCCTATCGGTTCAGTGGTGAACAGCTGCTCCCACTTGTGTATCACAGAAGATAGTCTGCGAAGTCCAAGTGAATAGTAGTATTTGCATTTGAGGAGAGGGACAGTAGTGGGGAGGATCTCCTGAGGCACTTAGAATGCTAAAGTTTGTCTCCGACCCACAACCATGGTCCTTGGGTTAGATGCAGGAAGGGTAACTCTTGATCCTAGGGTGAGCTTGCTGGGGATAGCTTTGGAGGGCTTGAATGTGGAGATGGTGAAGACATCTTAGTCTCCTGTCTCAACTGGAAGAGGCAGGGTTATGAGACCTCAGTCTGGGCCTTACCACACTGGCTCTCCGGTAGTGACCACCGGGCTTATCAAAGTTGATGGGGAAGTCATCCAGGGTCCAGGTGAATGTGAGGTCCATAGTGGGGTCATGGGAGGCATGGCACTGGAGGGTCAGGTTATCACCCACATTGATGTCAGCACTTGAAGGAGCTAGAGTGATCTTGGTTGCATCTACAAAGAAATTTGGCAATAACAAAACAAGGCCCTGAGTAGAAAGGGATGGAATAGGTCTCGGCAGTGAAAAGGCTCTGTTCTGCACCCCCAGAAGAGAAATATCATCGTAAGTTTCACTTGTCTGGCCCCCTCAGCAGCCCCATGAGTGGGTGGGTGATAGGCAGTGAGGGAGGGCCAGATTCTGGAGAGTAGTCAGGGGTGGCCTTGGAACCAAAGCAGAAGCAATATGGGGCCAGGAGCAGAAGGCAGAAGGGTACCCTGGAGGCTGACCACAGGTTTCACCAGACCACGGCTCTTACCACGTACAGACAGGATCCCGGTGCTGTTGGCTTTGCCCATAAAATTCTCAGCAAAGCAGGTATATTTGCCTTCATCTGATCGACTGATGTTTCTGATAATCAAGGTGCCATCCAAAGTTACAGTCACTCTGCATCAAGGACAGAAAAGATCTAGCCAACTCAGGGCACCCTGTGACCACAAGAAGGAGACTGGCCTCCAAAGAAGGTCGCCAAGGAGTCAAAATGGCTCTTTTGGGGTGTGTGGGTTCCCACCTGCTGCTGTTGCCCAAAATCTCAGTGCCTTTGCTCCATAGTATTGTGGCCTTTGGAGCTGCACGGGGCTGGCATGGAATGGTGATCTCTCCTCCCCGGGCTGCAGGGATCAACCGCCTCACAGGGTTCTGCCTGAAGTCAGGGGCCAGTGCTGCAAGGAAAGGGGGAATCACACACCCATGGGATACTAGCAGTTTCTACCACCCTAATTAAGGTGTCTCTTGATCATGTGCCAAGTACCATGCATGGCACTGGAAACCAACCCCTGAATTCTTGGTAGTGACAACTCTGGAATGCATCCAGAGTTCAGCCTCTCCTCATTACCCCCACTGCCATGGCTCATCCAAGCTACTCAGCTACCTGCCTTGACTATTGAAAGAGCCCCCAACTTGGTCTTCCCATTACTATGCTTCCGTCCCTTCTCTGCCCAGTGACTGGGGACACCTTTAAAAATGTGAATCAGCCGGGCATGGTGGCGCATGCCGTTAATCCCAGCACTTGGGAGGCAGAGGCAGGCGGATCTCTGTGAGTTCAAGGCCAACCTGGTCTACATAGTGAGTTCCAGGCTAGCTGGGGCTATAGGGAAACCCTGTCTCAAAAAGACAAAACAACAACAACAACAACAACAACAACTCAGAACGAAGTCTAGCTCTTATCCTAGGCTCAGAAACAAATCCACAGACTCTCCCATCACATCTTGCCCCACTGACTCCCTCACACATGCACCAGTTACCTAATTTCTTTTAAAAATTTTTTTATTATTTTTATTTTATGTGTATGAGTGTATTGCCTGCATGTAGGTCCATGTGGGTGTTGGGATTCGAACCCGGGTCTTCTGCAAGCACAACCAGTATTCTTAACACTGAGCTATCTCTCTAGCCCCCTAACTTTCTTTTTTTAACCCTCTGAAGTTGCCAAGGCTTTTCCTACTTCAGAAGGACCTTTGAGCTCACCATAACTACCTAAAGATCCCCCAGGTCTTCTTCACAAGACTGACTCCTCAGAGAAGCCTTTCCGGACCACCCCCTTGAGCTGGCTCACCTCAGGGATGCTGCTCTCTTGGGCTTTCTTGACACCATATTTTTACAGCTATCTGAAATAGTTTTGTATTTATTTGTTCCTCTCTCTCTACTGAATTTTAAACTACTTGAAGGCTGAGAGGTGATCTTTTGAGTTTATTAATCCTTAGGAGGTGTTGAATAAGTGTTGGTTGATTGAATGGATAAAGGAGTCATAGTTAAGCCTTATTAAAATTTAAAATAAAATAAGGATCCTTGTGTCCACCTTTCAGAGGAGGAAACAGGCTCAGCAAGTTCAAGTGACACAAACACTGGCACTAGCTAATGTTCCCGGGTCCCTGTCCTATGAAGGGCAGGCCTATTACAGTTCCCCCTTCTCATCTCATTTCCCCCTCAGAGCAGCAGTACAAGAACAGGACTAATACCACCTGCATTTCACAAATCAGGACAGTGAAGCATAGAATCAGGTAGCTTGCCACAGTTCACAGAGCTGGAGGAGCTGGATTAAATACAGACCAGATTGGTCTGGTTCCATGTTTTTGGCCTCCTTTTCACTACAGCAACCACCTTTGTCCATCCACATCCTCTGGGAACTCTCAGGCTGGTGTCTTAAAGCTGGTGCTACTCAGGGGCCATTGGAAAACCAAAAAGAACTTTGTGTAGTCTGTGTGTCTTTATCTGTTTATGTCTGTATTTGTCTGCATGTGTGTTTGCTTGTTCCTGCAGGCAGGCATGTATTTGGAGAAACTGAAGTTTTGACTTGCATAGCCCCCACCTGCTGTCCACAGGGCTCTCCCCCACCTCTTGGGCCCTTTACCTTGCACAGCCAGCTCAGCACTGGCATAGATGGTGCCATGCTTATTCTCTGCCACACACTGGTACATGCCAGAGTCCTCCAGGCTCAGCTTAGAGAACTGCAGGTCCCCAGCCAACACCTCCACCCGGTTCTGTGCAGAACACAAGCAGGGAAAGGATCAGGACTCCCAGAGAACAAGAAGGGGCCAGAGGGATGCAGAGGCTCCAGGCCAGCATCCATCAGGATGGGTCCATGTGTACAGCCCCACCACAGGGCACCCTGCTGTCTTAGGCCTCCTCGAGGCCACCCAGATCCACATCTCTGTTTGGTGTTGGAATCCCAGCTTGGGATTCTATCTAGTTGACCTACCTGTGGTCATGTGACTATGGGATGAACAAGCATTAGAACATCCCCAAGACCCCATGACTGGTCCAGTAGGGTGAGAGGGCCCAGCAAACAGAAGAGGTGGTAATGTGGAGAAAGCCCTCCTACCTGGGAGGTGAGAGGCTCCCCATTTCGCAGCCAGCGCACCATCGGTCGGGGCTTGCCTGCTGCTGCACAGCCCCAACGCAGGTTGGAGCCAATGTCGGCCTCTGTGTCTGAGATCACCTTGAGCCACTCAGGCTGAGCTGTGGGAGAAACAAGGGAGAAAAACTGAATGGGCTATGAGGAGCCTTGTGAGGTTGCAGTATTTGTAATGGACAGGAGAGGGTGCAATTGGCATTCTGGGATGGAGCAGGTAAAGAAGGGCAGGAAGAAAGCTGGCACTCTATGGGTACCAGTGACTGTTTTAGCAATTAGATCATTCTAAAGCCTTGTGTACTTTCTGTATGCTCCTGCTGAGCTCTAAGCCAGCCTCTCCAACTACACTTAGCATAGTTCTGGCAAAGACCACAAGGCTCAAGTAAGGGGCCTCCCAATTTCCTGACTTTGGGGCTATTTCTTCAGGGGCAAGGGTGAAGACTTGGGGAGAAGGTGTCCCCAACCCTGTACCCTGCACGATGATGCGGCCTTGGACGGTGTCCCGGCCTTTGGAATTCTCCGCCTCACATTCATAGGTGCCCTCGTCCTCGAAGCTCACGCTGGGGATCTGCAGGGTGGGCTCTGCTGTGGTCCACTGCGGGGACAAGGAACCATCCACTTTGCGCCACTTGATCCTGGGGACAGGGCTGGCAGAGGAGAGAGAGCCAGAAGGGGTGGGCTGGGCCGGGCATGCTCTCCATGCACCCACTCACTCCTAGGCTCAGAGCCCTCCTGAGATGCTGGACAAGGTGAAAGGGACCCTTGGTTGAGAGGGGGCAAAGGGCAAAAACTAGGCTTGGAGCATAAGCAGGGAGGATTCTGGAAGCTGACTCCTCTATCATAGGCCTCTGTCTACAGCCATAGCTGTAAAGCCAGTGTGGATGGGACTGCATGTGGTCTGTATGCTGAAGCCAGCTTGGCTTGCCCTCTCATCACACTGATCAACAGCCACTTACAATGTGGGTTTTTACATGTCCCTTTTCCTATCACCTCACTCTCCCAAGGCATTTCAGTTACTAGTAATCTGTACTAAAACGGACTGGGGAACCACTGAGTCTAGGGGACCAATATGTTATCCTGCCACATTCTTCATACACACACACACACACACACACACACACACACACACACACACA